CCTTTACAGCACTGACGGAGTACTTTAAATTGATATAAATATAAAGTGTACCTATAAAGCACATTTATATTGCCACAGAAGAATGAAGTGCCTTTAAGATAAAAAAGAATCTAGACTAAACATTTTCATGTCTTCAGTTCTGTCTGAGGTTAAAGTTATATCTGGCAAGAAGACAGGGAAAGGCTAAACTTTCTGTTTTAGCAAGTTTTCAGTGACTGCATAGAAATGAAAACCATATAAACCTGCTTAAGTTAAGGGATTGATTGGTAAATACATCTTCTAGAAGCTAGAGGGCACAGGAGCCACAGAAAGTCTCTGGTATAACTCAGTTAGCAAGAGGTGTGAGTGAGTCAGAGTAACTTTTGAGTCTTTTCACGTAAAATGGCACTTGCTACTCCAGTTCAAACCCATTTTGTTCTCTCTCTAAGAGAAGTTACTGAAAATGAGAAATGTCTTTCTGGATTTTTTTTTCAGATGGTCTAAAGGAAAATCAATTATTTGAATTGCTATTGGTCTAAATGAAGATGTTAAATATGCTTCCCATTTTTAATCCAGATTAGTTCAGTAATAAATTTATATTCTGCAGGAGCTCCTATTATTAACTGATAAATATTTAAATGGAAAAAGTCAAAGGTAAGTTCACAGGCATAGGAGCATTGGTCTCAAGCATAATAACCACAGACTTCAGATTTTCACTTGTCTAGCTGGTCTGGTCAAAGTATTTGATAACTTTTCTTCAACCCTACACAGTATCTCTGTGATAACGAAGTCCTGCTGTGTTTTATGTTACAATCCACATGTCTATTAGAGTGATACCTGTGTGAGAGGGACACTGGCATATTTTTTGATGTATACACCAATCCTTATTTTGTTTGCATTAGAGAATAAAATTCACAGGCCTTGCCCTAAATATGTAAGAGGAACAGAGCATCCTGACCTGCTCTTGGAAGACCTCCCCAGATTCCGCTGTGTTTTGCTTTCAATTCAAATTAAGCCTGCGAGAGAAAAGAACTTTGCCACAGCATGTAAAGAAGATGCATGTGTCAATTAATTTCTCAAGTCAGTTGGCTTTCTCATTAACAGAAAATCAGAGGTACTGTGAGTTTGTAGGACTCCAGCGTCACAGAAAAAGATTCCCCCCAGCCTTTGTGAATTGCTGTGTGTTCCACAGGTTTTATGCCTAAAGCCAGATGAGTGCTGAACCCCGGGATGATATTGCAGTAAACAAAAAAAGACTGATGGAGTAATGAGACTCCACTGAATTATTCATTGGGTTCTAAATGATGCAGAGAGAGTTATCACAGTGAACAGCCCTGAACACGAGACCAGTGCCAGGCACAGCCCTGCCTGTGCTGTGCACCTGACCTGTTTTTCCAGGTAGGCATCCACAAAAATGAATGTCTTGTATAAATGAGCTGGAACAACTGTGTTTGGTAGCTGTCCAAGAAAAAGAATAAGAATTCATCTAAGAATAATCAATCTAATTCCAAAAAAAGCCTAGTTAAGTGCATGCTCCAGTGCAATGGACATAAAATTAAAAGCACATTCAAGGACTTTGCTGCAAAGCAATGGACTTCTACACATCTTTAAAGAGAAACACATCTTGAGGCTTTTTGGCTGAAATCTGATGATGGCTTATAGTAAATATCACAGATAACTGCAAGAACACAGAGTATGTCAACACAGAGTGGGTTGCAAAAACCAGTGTGTACCAATAACACAATTTTAGCACATTAAGCATTTTCCCAACTGGCCTTTGGAAGCTGAGGAACAGTACAGCCTCATCCAAAAGGTAGGTATCTTGAGGTATGGTACTCCCACTGCTGTCATGGTTTAATAATTATCAGTGATGTGTTAATGCACTGAGTAGGGAAGTTAAAAGAGGGTGTCCAGCACAGAGAAGCTGTAGTAGAGAAAATTGTGATAGTAAGGTCAATTGTGTTTATGAAATGAACTGGCCTTTCAAATAAAAAAGTATTTGGAAGTTTATTTTTGGTGGTTCTGTGAAGGAGTTTCTTCTGAAGCCTGCCAGCAGTGGTGTGAGTGAAGCATTGTTTCACTCTACAGCTCTGGAAGAAAGATCACATTGGGGGTGAGGGGAAGGTAGAAACCCCTCTGTAGAATGAATTTGGAATCCCACCCTCCCACCTTCCCAAAAGAATGTTTTTTCTTCAAAACACTATCACAAACTTTGGTGGAAGCATCAAAAGGTTCAAAATTACCATATGATAGTCTGATTGCTGGTATCCACTCATGGCAGAGAACCACTGGCAGGGAGAATCATGCTGTCAATTCAGATTTGTTCTGGGCTTGAATGTGGCAGTGATGACAGGTGCTGTAAGAAACTAGTGGGTGATGTCACGGGCTTTGAGAAACATGCAGTGTCAAGAGGGCTGAGGAGTTATAAAATACTGTTCTTTGGGTGCCATCTGTGCTGCCTATTCAGCGAGGCAGAACCTTGTAAAAAAAGAAAGAGTAAAAGCGTAGAAGTCAGGGCAGCAATTTGAACTGGGTAATAACAAATCAAGGGAAAGCTGGTATACTCAGGCTTTCCTCTATGTGACTTTGTAACATAATGTCTTTTTAACACTGTACTGTTATAACATCCAAGTATATACTAATATGCAGACTAATTTAACTCATCTGATATCCCATCTTGGATGTCTGGCTTCCTTCTGATGGTGACCACTGCTGAGCTGTCATACTACTTGAAATTACCCGAGAACAAGGTGCAGATGTTCCTCCATAGAACAATTTTTTTAATCCTCTGATGATTTTAAAAAATATAATTTACGATTTATTACAATGTTTTTCTTTTTCATTAAAGGGAAAGTTCATTAAAGCTTATTAGGATGCCTTGTAATCCTAGAGTAAAATTTAACAAATTAATCTGATCCTTTGTCATAAGAAACAAAAAGTTATTTGTTTTGCTACTGGATATCAAAGCATATGGCTTTTGGAAAATGTGACTCTGCTTAAAGGCATTTTTTTTCCTCGCAGTAATTTGCAGGAGACTGCAAATTCTAACAGGTTCATTCTAACAGTGCAGGCTTCAATTTAATACAATATTACCAACTTTGTGTGGTAGAAGACTGCTGTCTTTGCATTTCCTGTAGCAGATGTGCATACCACCTTTGCTAGCTCCACTCGGTGAGACTGTGTTGTTAGGCAGAGGCATGGAAAACTCTTAATGTTGTTTCCCTGAAATGATACATATTTATGTGTTGCTACTGTCACAGGCCTCCCCCTTCCTGCCTGGTGACTGGAGCTATCTACAGTACCAGGCTTGGTACTTTGTTCTCTGAGCTTGACTTGTAAGAGACCATAATTTATAGGGACAAGAGAGAGCAATGGGAAACTGTTCATTCTAAAAAGTTATGTAATCTTGGCTTCTCCTGCACAATGGACTTTCATTTTCTGACTTGATTTTTTGTGATATCTTTGTCTATAGGGCTGAAATAGAATGATGCTCAGTTACTGCTTCTCTGAACTTTTGACACTCTCACTGGCTATTTTCTGTGTGTTATTCCCTATCCAGTCCAGATGTTTCTGCACGTGAGCCACTCAGCCATTCAGCTTGTTTTTTTTGGATGGCAAAGCCTTGATCTTGTCTTGTGATGGAGGACAACGTTACAATGTGGAGACTACACGTATTTTGTGGAAGGGCTCCAGCGGCTTCGGCATTCAACTGCTGCTTTAAACTGACCTTGGCTGAGGTTGTGTGATTTCTGTAGTGTTTCTTTGGACTAATTTGGGTGCCCTGGTTTGTGTTCCTGAGAGACTGTAATTTGAGCTTGGGGAAATCACATGTGAATGTGATTTGAATGTGATTCTCTCTATGAATGGCGCTCGGGATCACTGGGAGTCCTCTCAGCCTGTGCTTGACTGATGCTGCCTGCAGCCTGTGCTCCCAAGGGGCCTTGATGTTTTAAGCCTAAATTCGGATCTCTTCCTCCCATGAAGCATATGTTGACTGGTAGTATTTTTAAAAAACATTATGTTAAAAACAGGTTGATCACTCCTCAGGCCAGATTTCTAAACTAGCTCTGCACCAAGCAGGTCTTACTAGGTCTTACCAGCTGAGCACTGTGTCCATAAACAAGACAAAATGGGAAGATTTTTCAGAAAATCTTACTTTGGGATACCTTGGCAAAACCCTGATTAAACTTCTTGTTTTGGGCCACAGTTCTTGTATGGGTGGGAAGAGCACGTGGAAACCTTGCCTTCTCTGCAGAGCTGTCAGCCTAGGTCAGGCTGTCAGAGAAATGAAAAATTGGGTTTCCTCTAACTTTCTCTATTGCTTGTACAGCATTAAGTTGCTAGAATAACTCCAAGAGGGAGGCAGAAAAGAAGAAAGGAAGCTCATGTTTTCTAGTAAGAAGATTAAGAAAAAACTTGAGTGGTGATTGTGCAAGGACTTTGGTTGTGTCTTGCTGCAGGCACTGCCCAGTTACTGTGGGGGGCAAGACAGAGCAAAGGCTAAGCAGGGACTGAAAATACACACAAATGAGACTATGTAAAAAGTAAAATAGGAGGAGACAAACTGGAAAGGGCTAAAATTCAAACCTTTAATTCCAAGAGGGAAGATTATTCTGCTTCTCCCCTTTCAATTTTTGGGTGACCAGGTCTGACTACCAGCTGTATGGAGGAAGAAATGTACCCTAGTCTTAACAGAATTTGGGATGCTGTTTAATCTGCATTGTTGTGGTTTAATCTGACAGGCAGATAAACTTACACATCCACTTGTGCCATCTCCCCCGATGCCAGTCAGATGAGGGAGAGAACTGGGAAGAAAGAATAAAATTTATGAGTTGAGATAAAGACGGTTCAATAGGAGATAAATGGAAGGGAAAATAATAACAATCATAATGATGATAAAAGAATTAGAAAACACAAAACAAGTGATGCTCAGTGCAATTGCTCACCACTCACCAACCGATACCCTGCCAATTCCTCTGCAGCAGCCCCTGACCAGCTTTCCCCCAGTTTCTGTATTGACCATGCCATCATGTGTTATGGAATATCCCTCTGGCCAGTTTTTACCAACTGTCCTGGCTGTGTCCTCTGCCAGTTCCTTGTACACCCCAGTCTCTGTGCTGGTGTGGTGGGGTGAGAAGCTCAAAAGCCCCGGAGTTACTCAAACACAATTTAGCAACAACTAAACCGTCAGTGTTTTGTCAACATTATTTGCATCCTATATCCAAAACACAGCACTGTACCAGCTACTAGGAAGAAAATTAACTCAATCCCAGCTGAAACCAGTACATGGATGAAATGAGGAAGAGGAAAGAAAGGAAATTCAGACTCAGCAGAAAGAATAGTTTTCGTTGAGTGAATGCAATTGCAGGATGCAACCACATCCAGTAGCCAGGGATAGAAAAGAATGTTGGTGGTACCCTTAGGAGCGTTAAGGAGCACCGGTGTCAATGACAGTGCTTACTGACCAGTCTGAGCCCTTACAATGAGAACAATTAATACCAGATTCCTATGAAGGTGGTGGAATTTGCCAAGCATCCAAAAAACAACCAGACCATTTTCAGGTCCTGACTATTTCCTAAAGAACTACTTGACCCCAGGGGCCTGTAGCAGCCATGACAATCTTCCTTTGCAAAGCCTCTTAGAATAGTTCCATTCAAATACAGACATAATTACACCTCTCCTCACAATATTATATTTCAAATATCCTCCCAGTAATCAGAATCACTGCAGCGTGTGAGTGAAGAGCTCCTTTATCCTTACAGCAGAAAGCATATGAACTGTTATGAGCTAAAGAAGGTTTATAATGGGAAAGGCTAATAGAAAAGGCTTTGAGGCATCATCACAGTCACAAAAAAGGCATGACCAAATCTGAGTCTGAGAGCGAGTGACAATGCTGCCCCTTTACTAGAAAATGCCCCAATGGAGAGTGACCGAGAACAAGAATCCTCTGCCTCCCCCGCAGAAAATCACGGCCACAGAGAAGTTGTTGTATATTTCAGTTTGTTCCCATGGTTTTAATCTTCTAACTTGCTCTAATTATTCCTGTTCAAGGCTGATTTACATTTGGCAACTTAATGTTAAAATAAGTTCCCTTTAACAGAGCAACACTCATGCTTGTAGGCAGGATGGGGGGAATATGACGTGTTCAGATGCAGTGGGAAGCAGTTTTTTGGCAAAAAAACCTCTCTGATACTGGCGGTGTGCCTACAGATTTTTCATTTGCAGTAGGCCCTCAGTTTTCTGTCTCCCCTTGATGAAGAGCAGCAATGTTGACCTCATAAGGGATTCCTTCCAGTTTGTTTCCCAGGGTTTTTTTGGTGCTAATGCATAGTTTATTTAACAACTGCATGTTTTTTACATAAGCAGTATGTAACACAATAGTAAGCCCACAAGAAGTTTCAACCAGCTGTTCAGCGTTATGCTGCAGCACTCAGAGCTCTGCTTTCCAGAACAGAGCAGGAGTTCTCAGCATCCTCACTCTGGGACAGTCACTTCACAGGTGGGAGTGGGAAACGTCTGTGTAACTAGGAAAGTTTGTAAAATCCCAGCATCTCATAGGAACAAAATTTCCCCAAGTTTTATCAAAATCAGCATCCCAGTGGTTCCCTACTAAGGGAAAAGCAAGGAATTAGCTGCTTTCTTCTTTCAGGAACTGCTTGTCATGTGGAGATGAGCTCGAGGGGTCTGTTAGAAGGAAGCAGGGGAGCCATAATGGATGTAATACAGCACATGGCAAAGAACTGAGAGCAGAAAGTTTAATAAAACAGCATGGAAATCTGTAGGAAAACAACCTTTGCTAGTTCTGCTGCCTGTAGAGATGCAGACTTTGCAGTTTCTCTTTGATGGGTGTGTGTTCACAGCATAGAGGTGGGTCAGCTGGGGGGGTGACTATTTTTCCAAATAAAAAGCAACTTGTAGTGGTGGTTTGATCATGGAACAGAAAGTGAGACCACAGAACAAACAAATGGTTGAGGAATAGGAGCCAGAAGTTATAGCCAACTGACTCTAAAGGTCGGACTGATGGGTCTGCTGTCACCTACACACGAAGACACACAACCAGCATGCAAATTGTGTTTCAAATGGAGGAAGGATTAGTAATGAGTGAGCTCTACACTTATAAGTGTTACTTCAAGAAACTTTGCTGAAAGTCTGCAAAGTTTGTGAACTGTAACCATACACAGAAACAAAGTGAGCTGGTTTGACTGAAAACCTGTTATTTGCTAGATTAGCAGTTTGCAGAGATATGGTTTAGCACTAAGTGAGGGTTTCTAACTAAAAAAAGAAAAATATTGTTCAATAGATATTGATTTGTCTGATTATATGCAGGGTCTATTTAAAGTGGAGACTCGTCTACTTTAAAAAAGAAAAAAAAGTTGCAGTGAGTGTGTCCGAGTGCATTTACTGTTGGAAGCATTGGATTCCCATATATCGTTCAGTTGGTTTTAAAATGTATAAGAAGAAATGCATTTCTTCATACCAAATTGTCTTATCTTTGATAAAGTGTAGGTGATCCCACGTTATGTCTCTGGTGCTATCAAAGTAGCATTTGACATAACGAAGGAGATTATACATGTCCCATGGTCATTAATATTTCTGAGGAGAGTAACAAGGACTTTTTCTGATAATTACTCTGCTGAAAGGGAGCTGGTTCTGCATGGCAAAATGGGTCAGCTGGAGCCGTAGCTCTGTGGAAGCCATCCAGGAGTGTTTTCCTGGTCCCACTAAGTCTCCATGAGTTGTGAGGTCTGTGGAAATTTGGTTTCTTATGAACCCACTAATGAAGAGTGGCAAATGACAAATTCCCGATGGAATTTTTTTCCCAGTTTTCATTAACCTCTGTATGGATATTATTTTAATTAAAATAATCTTGACAGCACCTATGAAAAAGTTGTGGGGGTTGTAACAGTAATTAAATGTGTTGTCAAAAATGATAAGCAGCCTGGTATCACAGGAAGGAAATTAACACTCTGACCAATAATGAAACAGTAATCTTAATCCAGAGGCTTTTTCCTCTCAGAAACTCTTTAAAATGGATGGATTTTAGAGACCAGGCAATTTTGGAACAAGGCAGTTAAGCAATCAGTGCCATAAAACATCTCCATTTTAAAAGTCAATGTCATACTGGTGTAATAGTGGCTGATAGCCAGTCAGCAAGAAATGTGATGTTAATTAGACATTAATAGTGCAAAGTCTTGATGATTTTCCTGCATTTTGGATATCAGAATGATTGGGAATTGTGTTCAGCATTAGGTGCTGGTGGTAGGGGAGTTCAACAACGATCTGCATCAGTGCCAGCTGTTTCTTTGGGTTGTCCACTGCAGAGAGAAGGTGCAGAAGTGCTGGCAGGCTGTTCACTGCTGTGGGAAAGATAGGGTTTGAGAGCCTTGGTCTCTAGGTTATGTTACCACAAGTCTTTTATTGCATGGGAGCTGTGCTGAGCACAAAATGCATGAGTATTTTGGTAAATTACAAACTCCCTAAATTACAGCATTTTGTTCATCTTGAAAGCACTGTTTGTCCTTTAGATGAACTGGCATCAGATTTGGGCAGGCACAAGAAAAATCAAAACTTCTGTGCTGGTCCAGACTGGAAGGCACCATCCTCTCCCCCATCACACCAGGCTCAGAAGATGCAGGTGAAGCTGCCTTGGGTGCAAGAACTGGGTCGTTCTGCCCAGCATGCTCACAGGGGTCTGGTGAGAAAGGCTGCCCAGAAAGGAGCAAACTGTAAAAACAGCCACAGCGTTACTATGGGAGAGGGTATCAGGATTCTGAGCTAAGGGTTGGATTCAAATTACTCCTTGGTAAAAGAGACCTGGGAATAGTTCATCAGTAGGCACCAGAGCTGATATGGGCAGGCTTGTAGGACCCAGAAGTGGATGAAGCTGTGCTTATTCAGAAAGTCTGAGGGAAAAATGAGCCTGAAGAAAGTTTACGGTTTCCTGGGCACCCCTGCCTGAGGTAAAGTCTTCTCTATCTGTCACCAGTGAAAGATTTGCAGGTATCCTTGTATCTAAGGATTAAACAGAGAAATTCAACTCCTATGTCAGCAAGAAAAGGGCTGGCAAGTTTAATAAAGATAATCCTGCCTTATCCTAATCCTGTCTTCCCAAATGCAATCCAAGCAGAACTGCACCTTAGCAGTTAGGGCTCCTTTTGGCCTTCTGCTCCATCCCTGAGCTCCAGCTTGTGCTTCTCTCCTTCACATTTTCTTGTCCCACTCTTAGCAAATATGAGAATTAAAGAATGGAATGGTAGCATGTCATGTTCCTGGTTAGAGAAACCTGCACAGTAATGTGCCTGAGATGTTTCAAAAGGGAAGCAAGGTCCTAGTTCTGCTGAAGCTTTAATAGCCTGTTGTCTTTGGTAATGTGTGGGTACCCATCTACAACATGCAACTGTCTACACAGAGGTTTTTTTAATCTCCTATTTTCATCCCTAAAATTAAAACAAGTCTATTCATTCAGTAGAAAGCTGTATCTCACAAGAGCTGTGATCCGAGGAAGAAGAAAATAAGTAGCAAGATGTTAATGGAAGAGCTTATTTCTTGCTTGCTTTGCAATAATGTCCAGCAGTGTAAAAAGACTGGATCCTGTTATTCCAAGGACTAATTCAAAATGTAGTTAGAGATGTCCTACATCCACACTGTAAGGGAACTTGAAACATCTGAGCAAGAAAGCAACATGTAAGTATGGAGAACAGGGGGACAGCAAGTGCTTCTTTTCTTCTCTGTTCAAATATGAACTGTTTGTTCCTCACAATCCTCTAACTTACTGCTGTGGTTCTCTCATGTCTTCTAGTGCATGTGGATGAAGGCTTTGACCTGAGGCATGGTGACAGCCAGGACCAGCTTACTTCTTGGACTAAGTCAGGAGGGAGCTTTCTACACTTAGAAGTAGCATGGAAGGTAACCCAGCAGGCAGCAGTGGCTGGAGAAGTCCTAAGACAGGCAGGGAAGGGCATTCGCTCAGTGAGCAGGACCCACAGACTGGGACTCAGAGCTGTAAACAAGACTAAAAAGGAGTATCAGTGCATAATGGAAAAGGGCAGTGATGGAGGACATCAGAGGAGGATTGATGGGAGCAAAACAGTAAGTGTGAAAGGGGCAATGGGTGAGGAATTTGGAGCAGAGAGGAGAAGGCAGCGGGGACAAAAGTTCAGCCTCCTCGATGATGACAGTGTTTTGTGGAATTGAACTAAAAGCCTCCCTTGTGAGGAAAGTCTCGGGTCTGAATAGCTCAACGGATCAGTAATGATGTTCACTGAGTTCCAGTGTCACCTTCCAGACTGAACGTACACAGGAAATGATCATACTTTCTCATTGATATAATAAAAATAAAAATTAAATCCAACAGAAGTGAAACATATAATTTCCAAAGTATTTTCCTACTTCACAAAGCCAGAAGTTTAAAAAGTTTATTTTGTAAGACAGCAATAGGCAACATGTGAAGTACTTCTAAGGTAACAGCTGTGTCGAGTAAAAACACTAACATACCAGACATAACATGGGTGGTAAACCAAATTTTTAGTACTCTGAATAATATAATTAAATTTTTTTACTGAAATTATTTCATTAAAAAAGATCAACCTACATATGCTGAAAATTTGCTGTTATCCCACTACTCCTGACAACAATGCTGTTTTCAAAAAAAAGTTTTTACAATTTTTTTCCAGTAAACCACATCTGGATTTTTAACCTCGTTAAAAGTTTTCACTGAGCTTTTAGATCAGACTGTATTGTAATGGAATTGTTATTTATCTCCAGATTTATCCAGTTCCTCCTTTCTGGACTGTCTTACATTTATCAGGGTCTCTAATTACATTCCTCTACTAGCTGACCACTACAAAAATTGAAATCCTCACCACAAATCTGTAAAAATGTTTCCACTTGCATTGGGAGACAAAAATAGAATAATTCCATGTCTTTTTGGACGGATGCCTAGCTGAAACTATGCAGGGTTTGACTGACAAGAGGATGTAGTCTTTGCTGAGAGCACTTTCTTTAAGGTTCTTTTTAGTCTTCAGGAACATTTGACTAGATGAATGAGGAGAGGATTTATGCTAGTTTCCTTTCATTTTTGTTAACTTTGCCTGCTTTTTTGTAACTTTTGTCTCCTGCAACAAAATCTTTTCAGCTCATCGGGCTTATTGAATATATAATCACAAGCTGGTAAGTAGTAACTTCAAGAGTTTTGGTTTGAAATGGCACTCTATTCTTTTGTGTACAGCTGTGCTAGAAGACTAAAACCCCTTTGTGCAGATAAGCAAAAACAGAATTATTTAAATGCTCTGTATTTGCCAGGGTTATAACTGTAAAGTGTAGTCTTTCAGTAGTGAATAAATACAGTTAACACATAGCTCAGCCTGCAAATGCAGTGGAGAGACTTTGAGTAAGTTCAGAATTATTTTGCATCTGAGTGATCTCTCCTCACTGCGCTGCACTGCGCTTTATCCGTTTCCTGGGGAATGTGGACGGGAGCTTACAATGCACAGCAGGTAATTGGCTGCTTCAGCTGGAAAAGCAGAAAAAGGATATTTGTTGGTATATGCAGAAAGAAAATGAGGGCAAGTGGTAATTACTATTGGGTGATAATATTTGTCCATAGTCTTCTGAGCTGTCTGTGAAATTAAATCTGTACTGGTACTTTGTAAGGGTAGTGAGTGTGTTCAGTGTGAAGTTTAAGCAGTTGAGCAACTTTTTCTGTCAATGTATTTTGGACTGGAACTTTCATATGCTTTGAATGTGAAAAAGGAGGTGAATATGTATGTGATAACATGGTTTTTCAGAATGCTTTCTTCTGCTGCTCAAGGCTTGTGTTTCTGTATCTTAGCACACATTCTTGTGTTGTTGCTTATTTTGAACCATATCTTCACTTTATGTGAATGGTCTTATCTGATGTCTATGGTAAGTGAACATACCTCAGCCTTTAGGAACTCATTTCTGTATTTCTAAAACTTGCGTACGCTGAGGCAAATATTTCCTCTTGGAAAGGGAAAGCTATTACTGGGTTAGATACTTTTTCTCAGTTGCACATGTGGCAGTTTCTACAGACGGACCAAAAAGAGCTGTAATGGTATATCTATGTTTTTTGTTTAAAGTGGTTTATATCCAGATGGGGTGTGGAAGTGTGTTGGCGGTGTAAAGTCAGTTGTACCAGGTTCCTTCTAAAATAGGGCCATTTTCATAAAAAACTTTTTATTCTCTGCTTTTTCTATTCATGCTTTCTTTAACTAAATGAACCATGTAGTTTAAAGTCAAAGCTAATAGATACTAGAATAACAGCAAATCTGTTTTAATTTTCATAATATTGTGTAAAACCCCACCTATCTGAGGTTTGATAGTTCAAGAATCTTTACATACAGGTAAATATGCATGATTAATTTTGCTGGAATTCATTGACACATGAATATAGTATTTACTTCAAAAATCTTTTGCAGTTTCATGTTGCAGGACTTCAGTCCTTGGACAGTTTGATTTTGTTTGCTGAAAATCTCACAAAGAACCATGCACACTGTGTTGGAGGTTGAAATTGTGCTGCATCTGTAGGAAAAGACAAACAAAATATTTTATGGATTTGGTAGGTCTACATGTCTGTATGTAGAGAGGATACTTGGAAGACTGAAAAATAAATAACACATTGTTAGCACTTTACAATCCTTAACAAACAAAGATTTGTTTCCTCCTCTTTGGTAAAGATGAAATCCAAATGTTTCTTTACTTCTTTCATACACCCTTGTACTCTTTGAGCTGGCTTTAAATTTTCATCAGTGTCATATGAGGTAAAATGTGTATTAAAACATTAAGGAAAATGGGGTTAAGACATGCTCTGTCTAATAAAAGATATTAGTATTTTTTGGCAGTCATCCTTTGGCCTATGTAATTTTTTTTCCAAAGGGCACTGACATTGCTCCTGGTTTCTTTACGACTATCATTCTGTGTGTCAATGTGCTTTTTACCCACTGACCTTTTTTATTTATTTTTTTCTGAATGCCAAATGCTTAATGTGTCATTTCTGGCAGAAATTTCTGGTGATCAAAGAGAAAATAAAATGAGCTTGAAGAAAGTTGCTGGAAAGGCACATACAGGATGGCACAGGCATGTAAAGCTCTTTTTTCCTCCTGCAGGAGTTGCATACCAGTCTTCATACCTACTTAATGAACACAGGAGGAAGCACATATTTTTCTTGGGCCTGGAAAGCAAATGTGGTCTCAGAGTGCAAGGTTTACTACCAGTATAATCAGCTAGAGTGGCATGAGAGACCGCGTGCCAACTTTCTTTTGCCTCCTGTGTACCTGGCCCAATTAACTCCATTCTTCATTCTTCAGTCATCTCCCCAGGTAGCTACCTGGTGTTAATGGGCCATAAAATACCTGGCACTGGTCCATATGGAAATGTTTTGGGGTGTAGGGGGTCTCAGCCCTTCATGGGTGTCTCTGAGAGCATCAGAGGTAGAAGTGCTATCTGAAAGGAAATTCAGAGGACATGTACCTGTGCTCTCTCCCTGATTGCTGGAAGAGACACTTTGAATAATGCAGGTCACCAGATGAAAGCTAGATTAGTTTGGAAGAGAAAATTAATGGCCCAGAGGACCCAATGGAGTGAATTTCTGTTAAGCATAAAGGAAAGAACTTCAGCTGGGATTAGATACTGTTGTTCTTATCTCTTAAACAAGATTTCTTCCTTGCTTCTTCCTGCCTGCTTGCCTGTCTCTGTATCTCCCTCCCAAGCAGGGATTAACCATAACTTTTCTAATTGGACTTCTAAACGGATTGTGCTTAGTTACAAGTCAAGTAGCTCAGTTCTTTCCCTGCTATCGCTCCTGTGTTTTCTGGACTCTATCCCTCTGTCTGCAGAGGTCGATGGAGTGGGAGGTAGCAGGGGACAGATGGTCTGGTGGAAAGACGCTCATTCTGCAGACATCAGATTGCAAAGAAAAAGCCCTAGGAAGGCCTGAACTTCAGCAGGTGAAGCTCTGCAGGGAGGGAAAGCACCTCGTGTTGTGAACTCAGCAGAAGGAAAGAGATCCACAACTTTTGGGTAGGCTCATACTTGAAAATGCATTGAAAACATTTTAGCAGGCTTGTGACCTTTAAAGGAGATTAGACCTAGTTATTAGTTCATTTCTACCTAAGCATGTTATTTGAGTGAGTGCTCTATATTAAGTGTGACTAGTATGCAAGTGGCTTTTTTTGGTATTTCATAGAAATTGTGCAGAGCAGAGGAATGTATTTGATTACCTATACCTATTCCTTGGGGTCTTCCATGGATATGTGCTCAGGCTCAGCATATTATCCAGAGCATCAGAATTAAAACTGTTGATTGAAATTGGAGTGGATCAGAAGAGAAGATCTGAGACTCTGCAAACCTTTATGGCTAAGCCAAACTTCTCTGATCCTCCCTTTCTTCTGTGCATATTTCTGAGTGTACCTTTGACATCCAGGCACTCCTGTATGGATCTTGTTAGCATAAGGAAGAGGTGTTGCCAAACAAAAACTAATAACCTGGCAACCAACTCAAATCTGCTTGGAGTGATTTGAAGGAGCACTGAAAATTGGAAATTGGATTTCTGACTCATATTTTTCTGGGAAGGTTGTGACATATTGGGATAATACACCTGCTCTGTGTCACTCTTAGTCACCTAGCAAATTTATAACATTTTGTGAATTTGAACCTGTCCAGGTCTCCTGTCATACAGGAAAAACCTGTGGCACAGCCAGAAATGGTTGGGAAACATTTCCTTGGGAGCTCCTGTGGAGACGCAGGGCCACTTGTGCCATGTCTGGTGGCCTAAATAGTTGTAGTTTCCCCCCTGATTGTAGAGGAACCATTCAACAACACATTTCTCTTCTTACTCTTTGTGTTTAGGAGGAAAAGGGTTATGTACTGCTCTGTATGTCATGCCTAGATCTGAAAAGTGACCACAGCATTCAACAAACCAAATTACTTGCCTGATGCATTTCAGGAGTCAAAAATTTCTTCCCAAACATGCTTATTTTTGTACCTTCATCTTCAGTTAGATCAAGTCACAACAGCCAGGTTTTGGTGGTCCTGAGCTCTCTCACATGGAGCTGTACATGATAATTTCTGATGTCAGAATGCCAACTCATCAAA